TTTATTAATGTTACATTGTCTATAGTTCACCCATTGTTTCAGTGTATCAACCTTCTAACAATACAGTGTTTTCTTGATAATGCTCACCCATTGTTTCAGTATATCAAGTTTTTAATAATATGATGCTTTCTTTTGACTCTATAACTCTTATCATAAAGTAATTTTGATTGGGAATGAACTCCTTTTCAAATACCAGCAGCATTTCCAACAATTTCAACAAATAAATACTGTTATAATTTAAGTGATTCTAGAACTTAAGACTTTTTAAGACTAAATATATTTTAACTTTCAGTGATATATAACTATATATATACAATAACTAAAAGGTTTTGGGGAGACTAAGAACAGGGCACAAACCTAAAAAAAGTAATCACATACTGTTTAAAAGAAAGTGTTGGCTGCATATCTGTGATGTTTGATGAAGTTTTTTTATGAGTAGCAACTGTGTGGATAAATTAAGAATTTCTTCATCACTCCCACCATTTCCCAACAACCTTCTTTTCTTTGTAACATGTCTCTTGGTGGTTCAGCAATAAAAGTGTGGACTTACACCTCTAAAACCTGGGGTATGATTCCCCATGTTGGACAGTGTAGATAGCCCATTTTATAGTTTCTTGCTAAAAAAGTTAAAACAATAACTCTAACATTAGTAACTCTGCAATTATGTATGAAGAGTCATGGGAAATGTTTCCCATAATGCATCAAATGAATAATACTGTCTTTAGCCTTTCATCTTTTGTTAAATATCACACATTTAACTGCAGCAATAATTATAAATTTTGTTTCTCTATTTTTTGCATTAGACACACATTTATAAGCATAATTAAATTCTGTTTGTACAAATTTGTTAAAATGCCTGGCATGACCTGATAGTCAGAGCACTCAACTTAAGATCATCAAGCATTCTAACTGACAACATGCCTTGCCATAAAGTCAGTTATGGACAAATTTTCTGTCATGACCTTTAAAAACCTGAGAGATGGATACACCCTGCCATGGATAGTCATGGATGGATGAAACCTTTATAATTATTATCATTAATGTAAAATAATTACGTAAATATCACGGACATTGTAGTAAACCCCATTAACTAATGCTGTGATTCCCTATTTAAAATAGACAATGTCTTTCCACCCATTTTACTTGGTAAGTTCTCTGTACTGAGTGTTGTAACACAGATACTACATGTACTAAACATGATGTGGACCCCCCAGTAATGAATAGTAATTTAAGATGTAAGAGAAAGCACTTGGGGGGGGGGGGTAACAATTAGTGAAAACATGTTGTGAGAAACAATGTTGAACACAAAGCTCCTTTGTTTATAGTAAAGACGATGTGCTAACAGTTTGATAACTTTGTCATCTAAGGTTAAGATCATTATAAAAACTATCCTTCTTGCAGTATCACTCTGGTTTATAAATCAAGTGTCATTTGCCTCTTAGAATTTGCTCTTTAATAATCATGCATTTTTAATTAAGTGACTGCCCTCTTGAACACACTAGATTAGTTAACATTTAATAACACAGAATGAGCATATTTTCTGATCTTAAAATTCGAGGTTTGAGCCCTGTAGTGGACACAGTACTGATAGCCCATTGTCTAGCCTTATGCTATAACACACATTCTCCCCCCCCCCCCCAGTCAACAACTACAGACAAATTGTGTAATATTAAAGGCTATTCAAAGTTTGAGATTAAGGCGCAGGCGCAAGAATTTCATTGGGCGAATGTATTAACCCTAACCTCGTGTTTCTCAGTGTTCTGTATGTTACACTTCATGCATAACAAACTTTAATGTTTTGAACATCATATGGCAGCAAGTTTATACCTTAGAGCACGCGCTAATGAGTAATGTTTATGTAAAATCAAGTCTTACAGTTAAAAACTTGGCCACGGAAACTTTCTCGTTGGTGTCTTGAAACATTTCGAACAAAACATCTTCTACGTTCTTCTGTCTATCTTCGGTACTCTCACTGCAAAGACACATTTTTAACATGATTTCCAGAAGATTATGAATATAAAACGCTACCAACTACGTGACTGTCACCTTTTTGACATGATTGTTCGTATTTTATGTAACTGTCCAATTTCGATACGTCTGTCCCTTTCTGTTTACGTGTACACCTAAACTAATCATTTCACTTGTAAGAATGAAATTAGTTGACAAATTCTAACTGTATCATACGAAAAACATGTATTACTGATATCTGCGTCAAAATAATCTCACAGTTCCAGCCCCTCACTCCCAACCAGTAGATCAACGGTAATTCTGACGGCTTATAACACCAAAAAAAAAATATCGGGATTTGACATTTCACAAAATAAATTGCACGTATTATGATGTAAGCTTAACATTGTAGTTAAACTAAATATTTTTAGTAATTATTATTAAAATTGCGAATTTGTTTTTGCGTTTAAGCACACACACAACATATATTCGTTCAATCTGTAAAAGCTGATCCCCTACATCTACATCTCCTAGAAATATCTATGTGGGCGCCGCAGGGTTTTGATACCCGTGGTTGGCAGAGCACAGACAACCAATAGTGTTGCTTCCTCAACAAACAAACATAGTTATAATCTTTCGTGAAATAAAGTGAAAAAATGCATACAGCTATGGAATTAGAATCGCAGGTGAGTACTCTCCATTCTGCGCTTTGTCGACCATATTGGGAGAACACCTAACCATGTCCATTAAACTTCTACTAATATCTAAGCAAACAGTATGTAATATTCAGAAATACTAATATTACTATCCCGATGAATTAGTACTCTAGCTAAAGGCTCTATACCACGTAACGTCAACAAATAGTAACATTCCGACCATGAAAAAAACGGTACTCCAGTTTAATGAGCATTATCAAGAAAACATTGTATTGTTAGAAGGTTGATACACTGAAACAATGGGTGAGCATTATCAAGAAAACATTGTATTGTTAGATAGTTGATACACTGAAACAATGGGTGAGCATTATCAAGAAAACATTGTATTGTTAGAAGGTTGATACACTGAAACAATGGGTGAGCATTATCAAGAAAGTATTGTATTGTTAGAAGGTTGATACACTGA